CACGTCGCGCGGTGGGGGGGAAGGGCGGAGGGCCGCCGACGCCGTTGTTTTGCTTGTGTTTCCCCCGCAGTCTGCTGACCGCACATCACTTCCGGGTTGACGCGTCGACACGCTCCCGGCGCCCTACGTCATCGACAGTTAACCCATTCACTGCCGCCACCCAAAGTGAAAAGCCCAGTTGTCGCGGAGCCCGTCAAAAACGCTTCATGTGCGTGTATTTATTACTTTTTTTTTTTTAACATGGCTTAATGTTCGAGAACTGTGACTCAAAACAACAACACCTACGCTCTCTGAAAATATCAAGACAATCGCCACAGTGTTTTTTGCACTTGATGGGCATGAAGCTTTCGGACGTTCACTATCGGGAAACAGATCACCACCAACAATCACGTGCACAGCACCGCTTACCCCAAAATGTCAAACATACGGCCCGCGGGCCGGAACTGGCCCCCAAGGAGGTTCGATCCGGCCCGCGGGATAATTTAAATGTGGGGAAAATGCGTTAAAGACACAGAATGAATATTTTAAATAAAATGCAATTCTGAATTATCCACTAAGGGGCACACTGTTTTGATCACAGTAGAAGACAACATTGTTTTGATCGGGGAAGAAAACAGCAGTCTCAGTCTGTCACCGAGATAGACCCAATGCAGCAAATGATATGAAAGCGCCAATCAATGCTTCTTGAGACCAAAACAAAGGAAAGAGATGAGATTTTGGTGATTCATAGCACAGTATGGTATCATGTTAATGGTTCGGCCCACTTGACATCTACCGAGTCCGTATGCGGCCCACAATGTGAAATGAGTTTGACACCCCTGGCCTACCCCTTCGACCCCCGAAAATATCCAAACAATCCAATATTTTCTATTTTAAGGGCATTAAGCTTGAGTGCGAACCTGTGCAGAGGAAGACTGTAATGGCCGTCATATCTCAAACGTTGGTGCGACCGTTTAGATATTTTCAGACATTGACGTGGGCCTCGGTAGATGTTTGCACATGAATTTGGGTGGCGAATTGATCTAACATTAAACCACGGTGAGATTTTTTTTTTTTTTTTTTTTACGTGACGTGTTTTAAGACAGCTTTACACCTGAAAAAAACTTGAAAACTGCATGCTGTGCTCTCAACGTCGTATAGAACTTCGGAGAAGAACGGGATCACTTATTTGAAATCCAAAGAATACATACTTTATAACAATGACCAACCGTTAGGTTTTATTTGAAATATTCCATCCGTAGGTGTTGCTTTATTTTTATTTTTTAAAAGATGGGGTTTGACGTCCTCTTAAGTGACTTGTTCATGATGTGCTAATGCTAGACACGTGAAAAGTTGATTCGATCATGTAGCCGTAGTGCTGGATGGGGTGTTTTGGAGCGAGGTTTGCGATCATGCGATTCTGAATCTGAATCTGAAAAATGCGAAACAAAGGTAATCGGCTAAATTAAGGATGAGGTGACTTGTTGGCTTATTTATCGTGATTATCACGTATTTGCGCTGTATGAAATGTAGGGCTGAGGTTTGCGCCAAACACGTCGCACACCAGGGTCAGGTGACTCGAAGAGGCGGTCCAGCGGGCAAGGCGATCACACCGACAATGGTCAACGGAGCGGCATTTTAATAGCGACAGACTACCAAGAAACTACAGTACATCAATTCCATGTTTGGTACACACAGACACGTCACGCCGTTTGGAGCTGAGTTTGTCCTCATATTGTACAACAAACGTTCAGTCATCAAATGATTGAAGTTATTGCGGAAATGATTGGAGCTTTTGCTCCATTTCCCTTTGCCGTGTGCAAACAACTCTGTCCCGTCTCGGTTGACGGTAGTTGAATCGCAGTTCAAGAAGTCCCGATTTGCCCACCATCAAACTTGGAGCAATCGCACGCCTCCCATTGGCCTTGCGCTGGCAACCGGAAACTTGAACGTGCCCGGTTGCGATATGAACCGCTGTCTGGTTCTCCTTATGACTAAATCTGCAAATGCGAGTATTGTTCATGGAGTTTGTACGCTTTGGCTCACAGTTGTCATAGGCTGCGGAATATGCATTTTCTCATGATATTGCTCCTTAGATTGTATACATTTGGGTTCATGGCGTTTTAATGCTACTCATTCAATGGATTGGCCCTCGTCAAGGAGCAGCCCTCCGCCACCGTCAAAGCTTCGCTCGGTCCGTTCATACGACCGAGATGCCGTCGGGGGTTTCTACGAGGGAAACTAAAGGATGTCGTCAGGCTAGTTAGCAGCTAGGCTAATGAGCAAAGTAGCACATGAATTTAATATTCTGAAGCCACTTGGACGCCTGCGTTCCCTTTGTCTTCCGATGCGAACCCAAGTTCAACTTTTCCTTCTGTCCTTTGTGCAAATCTCAGCTTGCAGTATTTGCGCTGAGCACGGCTAATGTTGGGGTGAAGGGGGTTTGCATTGAAAGGTCAGCCCGGTTTCCGTTTTGGACGATCGGTCATCTTTGAGCGGCCAAGACGATGACCGTAGCGACGTGACAACGGGGGACGCGGGCACCATCGCGGCAGGACTCGCCGGCGGGTGACTGTTGCTTCAAAGTGATTGGTCGCGGCGGCAGAGGGTGGTAGTGGGGGCGGGGGCGTCTCTACGGAAGTTCTGCTTCTGGTCTCAGGATTGTTCCGCACTTGCTTCAAAGCGCCAGTGGTTCTGATTCTTTGGTCGTGATCCAGCTGCAGTCGCGTCCGCTGACCAACATTCAGGCACTCTGGAATTCGGGCAATTGGCTTTTCTAATAAGGAACAAAACACTGGAAGAACAACTACTTCTGGAAGAGTAACTTCTCCGGGATCCTCGAGACGGACGGACGGGGCCCTCGTCCCCCCGTAAAACATGTCGCGAACCATTTGGGCACATAAGAAATGAAAAACGAGGACCCGCAAGTGCGAGCGCAACTTCTCAGAGCCTTGATGAACATAGAACCTACCGAGGAATTCAGTTTTTCATGGAAGATTCAGGGGTTGGCTTCCTGCGGCCTTCTTCTACTCCCAAACCCGGTGTGACCGGATCCAGAGTGATCCGCTTCATCTACAACACTTTGGAGTTCTCAAGTCCACTGTCACTACGCAGGTCAAAACCTTTTTGTTTACGTGTGTGTGCGTGTGCGTGTGCGTGTGTGTGTGGCCAAACGTATCCGACGGGACTGCCGTGCCCGCCTTTTCCATTTCTCGCCGAAGGGTCGCCGCCAGAGCGGCTTTCCCGTGACACTCTACATCCTCCGGGGAAGCTTCGGCGGAGTTGAAGACACCAAAACGCACGCGGCACAATCCCGCCGGACGCGTCGGCCATTGTTCGGGAGAAACGTCTGCAAGCTTGGGGACAGCGACGGAAAATTGTATTCATCTGCTGATGTCTGAATGCGTTTGCGATTCAAATCTCCAGGCACTTTTTCCCTGTGTGTCCTCATTCTTTTGGCTGACATTGTGGAACGGCTGAAAACAACATTTTTATGGGCCCGTCCAACGGCTGCGGGCATTGAGTTTTCAGCTCCCATGTTATGTTGCCCCCCCCCCCAGAAGGAGGCGGAGGGGTTGCCACGGCGCTGGCCTTCAGGACTTGTCATCGTAGAGGTCCAGAGGGGCCTGAAGGTCGGGCAGCTCTGTGCGAGGCGGAGGCGTCGACGTGAAGAAGTGACCACCTGCACGCACGCAAACAAAATGTTTTGCTTTCAAAATTTGAAATTCCAAATTTTGCAAATTTTTTTTTTTTATTCAACATCTCAAAATTTCCATCGAAAAATAGCCAAGAAATTTAAAATTCTGTCTAAAAAAAAAATCAACATAAAAAATTAATGAAAGTCTGTAAAAACTAATGTCGAAAGGTTCAGTGTAAAAAAAAAAAAAAAAAAAAAAATCTCCTAAATCTGTATTAACAATAATCATCACAACATATCCCCCCCAAAAAAATTCATCGACCCTAACCCTCAAAAATCTGACAAATAAATTTCAACCTAAAATAAATAATCACCCAAGGTTGGTTTGTTTGTTTATTTTATTTATTTTATTTTTTTTGGGGGGGGGGGCAGTTTTACGAATCAAAGACTGCTTTCTCATTTTGTGGGGAAATTCCATTTATTCATTTCTTTATTTTTGGAGGTTAATTCCAGGGACCTGAAGCAAGGATTTTATTTTAATCAATAAAAATGTCAGTATTCCAAATGAAAATGTGTTTTTCTTCATCGAATCCAAAGTTTCGTCTATTCACATTGTGTGTTTTGGCCAACTTTATTTTCTTGCGTAGGAGCAAAGCCAAATTGATTTTATTTTGGCACTTCATGCTCAGTTTTGCAATTTAACGCGTTTTGTTGAGGCACAAATTTTGCCGGCTCAGTGAAGCGCTTATTTCGAGTGCAGCCATCCCAAATCAAAATCAAAAGTACACACACACACACACACACACACACACACACACACACACAAAAAAAGAAGTGTATCCGCGTGAATAATGAACGGCCCGACCTTACCGGTGACGGCAATGGCGATGTCAGTGGGGGAGCGGGGCGGGGCCTCCGGGCAGGGCGGGCTCAGCGGCTCCAGGCTGACGGCGGGCCCGCCGCCGCGCTGAGCGAGCGACGCCCTCGGGCCGGCGGGCGCCAGACTCCCACCGGAGCGCTCCGCGTCCGCGACCTCGCCGTCCGCGCACGGGACGCCGCTCTGCACGGCAAACGCACGCCACGTTGCCGACGGGGACGACGCAACGTCGGGATGGGGCATGCGCCGGGGAGGACGCGGACTCACCGCGATGCCGAGGGCCTTGAGGATGTTGAGTTTGCACATGGGACACGTGCAGTGCTCGTTCAGCCACGGATCCACGCACGCCTTGTGGAACACGTGCCTGAACACACAGAGGCACGCACGCGTGCGACACCGTCAACTTCACGGGACCGAGGAGGCCTTGATACGTGGCCCCTGACCATCACGCGACTCACTTGCAGGGAAGGATGCGGACGACGTCGTTCAGCTGGTACGCTTCAATACAAACGGCGCAGTGGTTGAAGTCAGGATCCGTCTCCTACGCACACATTTCAAATTAAACCCGCGTGTAAAAGAAACACGCACACACACACATCCACACGCAGATTTGACCTTATCTCCTTTCTTCACCGTCCTGGTGCTCAACTTGCCGATGGCCTTCTTGGCCGCATCGCCCAGACGACGCTGACGTCGGAGCAACAGAAGACGCGTCATTAGGACACGCGCGCGTACGCACGCGGGCACGCGGGCATACGTACGTGGCCACGGTGGGGCGCCGCGCCGTATCGTATCTTCTGGATGAAGTAGAAGATGAGCCAAGCAGAGGAGATGATCATGAGGACGATGAAGGAGATGGACACAAAGACCAGCGAGCCCCGGTTGACGGTCTTGGTTGGAATGCGCTGACCCACCAGGACCGTCACCACCACGCTCAGATTCCTCTCCAGCTGGGCCAGGATGTCTTTGCCGTACCTTTCCGTGATCATCACCGCCACCGTGTCGCCCGTACCTGAACGCCACACCGCAGCGGGAATGCCGGATGAGGCCCGACCGTCCCGGAAGGCGCCGTCCGGCCGGCCGTCGGGACCCAGGCCTTTCTCAGGGCCCGACGTTAACGGTGGCCCGATGGACCCCGGCCACCTAATGACACTTTTTCCAGCCGCCGCGTACCCACCCGCAGGGGTGTCCAAACTTGGCGCAAGCAGAAAAACGGAAGGGCCACTTTAAAATTGGTCAACACGCTCAAGTCGGCCAGGAGAGCAATTCGAGATCATTTGAATTGTCCAGTTGATTTCATCAGCTCTCTGTTCAAGGTGGTTTTTTTTTTGGCATCTCTCTCACAGAATCGACCCAGCTCTGAATTTAACAGCGGCCGAATCTCCACATTCGGAAACAAAAATAGAACAAACAGGGGTAATTTTCGGGGGGGACATGCCGAAAATGGCCCCCGGGCCGTCGTTTGAACACCTCTGCCCTACGGATACTGCCCCCGATGGGGCCTGAACAAATCAACAGATTTTTGCCCTTTTCCCCAGAACCCAAGCGTCGCTCATCTTAGCCGGCTAGCGTGCGGACCCGCGTGCGGAAGCGCTGACCTTCGTGGCCCATCTTGACAGTCTTGTTGGTGGAGTTGTTGTAGATGAGCACGGCGGAGGCGTTGAAGGCGGCGGCCTTCAGGATTTTCTCCTTGAACGTGCAGTTTCCTCGCTGCAGCAGCGCCACCCACTGGACGCCGCGAGGAGGAGCCGCAAAGCGCGTGTGGGGGTCGCAGCCCTGACGATCCGCCGCTGGACACACGCGCACAAAGACGGTTGCGAAAAGGGCTGCTGAGTGCGCGCGAGACCAGTGAGCGTGTCCTTCCACATGGGAAAGAAAAGCTCGAGCCGTCGCGTCCGAGACATTGGAGAGAACGGAGCAGATACCGACGCTTTCATTACTCCTCCGCGATCGCGATGCGTCGGGACCTCGCAAACGCACCGAGCCTTTACGCGATGCACATTCATCGGATTTCTTTTGAGTCGAAGCCAAAGTGGAGCGATGGAACGACGACATTTCAATTGATCGCCCGGCCCCGGCGCGGCCACCCGAAGAGCTGCCGGAAAGACGAGAAGCCGCCTCGGACGGATGATTTGCCCTCACACGCGAGCGCCTGTTGCTGTCGCGAAAGGACGCCGCCAATCAAATATGATCAAAGTAAGAGGGAACGGGCGCCAACACCTCTCTCTGAGTTGCGGCGGTATTTGTTTGCGTTTGCTCCAAGATATATTGATTTTTGTGTTTGGCTGTGTTGTTCGTTTGTTTTTCACGTGCTTTTGTGTACATTGGTTCTTGCGTAATCGTCTGCGTTTATTTGGACGCTAATTGTTAGTCCGCGTGTGTCAATTTGTGTGCGTCCGTGTTTGCATGTTTCTGGACTTTTGTCTGCGTTTGTCGTTTGCGTGCGGGCTCACCTCCGTGCCGCGGCGCGGGCGTGACGACGACTAACGCGCGGGTGTCGACTTTGGGCGAGTTCTGTCCGTAGGTTCCGTCTTCGCTGCTCATGATGTGGACGGCGTGTCCCCGCGCGTCCACGGCTGTGGCGTTGACCGTGGCGCTCACGTACTCCTCCGACGCCAAGACGACGCTGCCGCGGTCCGGGCGGCCCGCCCGCGCCCGGACCAGGATCAGCAGCAGCAGCGGCAGCAGCGAGGGGACACGGAGCCCGGTCCGGCCGAAGGACGTCATGCTCCCCTCATCCAAAAACTGTCGGCAGGCAAAAACAAAAGACGGAACGCCATTCAAAGGTTCCAGCCCCGAGAGGTGCAACAAGTCCTTGATTCTTGTCATTGAGTATTTTGGAGCATCGATTCATCGTTTAGAAACCTCGATTTACTTCAACCTGTCCGAACCCTTGGAATTAGCAGCCTCTCAACAGTTAAGTCGACTTCAATTTCTGACGTCCAGCAGAAAACCTTTTTCTTTTTTTTTTTTTGATACTTTTACTTTGGAAAACATCAACCAACGCTTGTGCAGATTTTCTGCCAGGTGACTTTCTAAGCGTCCTCCACCTCTTCGTGTTTGTCTACTCTGCATGCCACTTTGGCATTTCCTGACCCTTTCCACGGGTGTCCTTCAATTTGGCACATCTCAATGTCTTGAGACGTCCTACGGCAGCGCCTAATTGACGCCTGACGTTTGATACTTTTACTTTGGAAAACATCAACCAACGCTTGTGCAGATTTTCTGCCAGGTGACTTTCTAAGCGTCCTCCACCTCTTCGTGTTTGTCTACTCTGCATGCCACTTTGGCATTTCCTGACCCTTTCCACGGGTGTCCTTCAATTTGGCACATCTCAATGTCTTGAGACGTCCTACGGCAGCGCCTAATTGACGCCTGACGGACTTTCAGTGCGGGTGGACGGACGACCTCTTCATCATCCTCATCATGCTCACCTTCAGGCCTGCTGACATTGTGCGCGCGTGTGTTTGTCGTGTAGCTTTGCGCGAGGAAGAGCTCAAAAACACATCCATCCGTCCCTCCGTCAGCTTCCGTTTAAGGAGCCCGTGGACGACTTACGTCTTTGTCGTAGCGCGCGCACACGGACGCACAGGCGGCCTTCCTTCCCGGTGTCTCTGGAGACGCGTCCTGGCCGGTGGGGTGGGGGTCGGGGGTCCTCAAATCCTCGTTCGTTCGCTCTCTCGTTCTCGTCGTTGCGAGGGCCTCGTCAAGCCTTGTTTTGGTTCCGCTAACTACCGAGCGCCGCAGAAGCTCCGACCAGATGGGCTGTGACGCAGCGCGCATGCGCACACGTTTTCGCGGGGCGCCTCGCTATTGTGTGCGTGCGAGAGTGTTGGAGGGGCGAAATGTTCCCCACGCATCGCGAGAACATGGAAAGGATCGCTGCCGCCCACAATTTTTTTTTTTTCCCAGCTGTTGAAAAATGATCTCCATTTCTTTCACGGTGACGTCTCGATAATAACGAAGAATGGATTTTTTTTTTTTTTTTTTTTTGCTGCTTCACA